TGAACCACCACCTTCAGCCTGAGTCTCTTTTTAAAGGAGCAGCTAAACTCCTAAGGATGCTTTCTCCAATCCCCTGGGCTTTCCTGCTCTTTCTCTGAAGAGAACCTACTCCCACCGCCCAGCACAGCTGCTGGCTAACCACCAGTGCTGAACATTCTTGCTTTCTCAGACCCTAACTCTAAAGGCATGGTTCTCTCTTCCTCATCTCCATCTCCCTTCCAGACGGCTTCTCCAGACAGATCTCTCTGCTTGCCTGCCCTGTTGTTTTTCTCTCAAACTCTAATGCAATGTTCCCAGAGATTCCTTCTGAGTCATTTTAAATTATTTTATTAAGGAGACAGAAGAACCTACAAAAGGGAGCCCCGATTCCCAGGTAACAGTACTAGACCGGACCTGAGCATGCTCCTCTTGGGTCAGGAGTGCTGAGCTTGCAGAATCTTTGGGCCTGGACGGGCCTTCTTCCTACTTCTGGTGCTCTCCCTGCCCCTACAGGCAGGCAGTGCGCAAAGGAGCAGGAGATGGCAAGGTGCCAAGTGTGAATAATGAATAGCACCCTCACTTCCATCCGTGGGTTGGCTGTTTACACACCATGCTGCAGGAATCTAGAGCCTGAGGAAATCTGACTTGCAGCCTGCTCAGGCTCCCTCCCTCCTGTGTGCCTAGCTCAGGAAAAGGCAGAATTGTTACCCAAAGACCATCTGGTTCCTTTGCATGCGCTTATTAGGAACAGCAGAGGTGGGTCTGTTACGATGGGAAGGCATCTCGGGCACAGATGCTGAGTTTATGTGTAAAATATGGCTTCCGGCCAACACACTAATCAGGAGCGCCTCTGAAGTGCTTCCAATCGTCTGGATGAGGTGGCTCCCGCTCTCATGTTGTTTGTACAAGCTGGTAGTTAGAGGTGTTGTGTACAAGATATTTGTAGTCATAATTTCTCCAAACAGGTTAAGGCAAACACGATGAGAATCAGCATATTAATGTGCCGTGTTTCAAATTAGAATCATAAACACACTTTCCTCATTGGAGGCCTAATCTGCTAAGAAGAAGCCAGATGTTTAATGACGAAACCATTATTCAGGAGGAGCCATCAAAATGAAACAAATTGTTGTTGTTGTTTAAGAGGAAGGGAACACCTGCCTCCTGCCAGGGAACTTGGACAAACTGCTTGGAGAGGATTCTTGCTTACGTTGGATTTTTGAGTCTTCTGCTGTTGTTTGAGGATCTTTCCAGAACTGTTCAGCAAAGGGGAACTCGTTTTAGGATAGTCTGTTGCATTTCCCAGTGCAGAGGCAACTGATGTGATGGGGTGGGGTTTGTAGAGATGTGAGCTAAGGGACTTTGGCATCTCCTTTGCTATAAAGTCCCCCTGTCTGTCCCTCATGGTTATTGTTTCTAAGCAAAGGGCTAGGGAGGGACAGGGCTGTGAGTGGCTCCACCTGCATTCAGAGCTTGCTGAGGTAGAACAGGATTTACACTTAAGTTCCTCTCCTTCAGGGAAAGCCATCCCACCAGCACCCCCTCATCTTGAGGGAGTCACGGATACCCTCCAGGCCCAGGAATGGATCTCCTCTTCCCCATGTCCCACTCCACTGTCTTGGCATCCCCTCCATCTGAAGCTTCCTCTTCCCTATTGCTTCCCCCTCCTCTTTCCCACTTTCTGTCAAAAATGCATCTTAAACCTGGGTGTGTAACCCTAGCACTTGTGAGACTCAGGCAGGAAGGTAATAGTCTGGGCTACTAGTGAGCACCAGCTGGTCAGAGCTATATGGCAAGACTCTCAAATGTACAAAAAGAAAGGTGTATGCTCAATTGCTCACTAGACCGAAGAACACACACAAAAGCAGATAGGTATTGCCAGGTCAGAAATTGTAGGGGATTCTATAGACCTTGATGCCTTTGTGTGTCTTGTCTTAAATATCCAAAATGCATCAGAGCTATCTTTAAGGGTTCTAATTTATTTATTTTTCTAATTTTGCCTCAATGCTGGTAGATTTGGGGAGACTATGCACAAGAGGCTAGTCCCCAGCAAGTCCACCAGGTTGTTTAACAGACACACCATCCTAATAGCTACAGCAGAGGGCAAGGTAGCTGGGAGTAGAAGGCATAGGAGTTCTGAAACTGCCCTTCCACAGAGTCGGGACAAGACTGAGTTCTGAGAGAGTCAGAGGAACCACACCCTCACCTAAAGTTTCTGGTAAAACCTGGAGGAGGAGTGAGGTTCCGAGGGCTCATTTGTCCTGATGCGTTTTCTTTATCAAGGACCAGAAAATAAAATCATTCCTAGACTCACAGATTTATTCTCCTATTGCAGATGTCTCAATGTGTCGCTTTCTCTGAGCTGTGACAAAAACACTTGACAGAATCAACTTATGAGAGAGGAAAGACTACTTTGGGTTCAGAGCTTCAGATTATGTTGCCAGCATGACTGAGCGGGTCAGTCTGAACTGGGGGTAGGGAGTATGTCATGGCAGCCATCCGCATCTTGATAGACTAGGAGAGGAGAGAAAAGCCAGAACCAAGGGCAGGTGTAATCTTTGAAGGTCTTCCTCCCAGTGACCTACCTCACTGGGCTCGACCACCTAAAAGTTCCACAGCCAACTAAGTGGCAGCACCAGCTGGGGACCAAGTACCCCGAATGTGGGACTGTGGGGAACATTTTAGTTCCAAACCATGACACTTGATGTCTATGAATGACAGACATCTCGTTTTCTTTGAAATCACTATAATTTCTCTTTCAGATTCATGTCCCATATAATTTTTCCAGTTTTATTTCTTTAAAAATATCTCTTAGCAGTTCTTTTTACTTAATGTGTCATAGTAGGAACAGAGGAAGCTCTGAGCCAGCTACCACCCTACCACCTGAGATCTAGCAATAGAAAATTTTCCCTTTTTTAGCATGTGACTGATTATGTTCTGTGACAGTATACTCACCTGTTTCCACTCAGGGTGACTCTAATTGTTTGGGTTCCAACTTAAATCTGCTTATTGGTGATGACCATTCATTATACTAGGGTCAAAGTGGCAATTTATAGGGATGATGAATACCATGTCCCTAGCATGGTGTCTGACTCAGGGAAATAGGTGGTGTGGGGTAACTGTTTTTATCAGCTACATTAGTGTAGGTTTGTGTTTTGATTCTGAGAAACACAGTAAAAGCTAATTCATCTACATGGAAGCCTTTCGCACAACTGTGAGCACTCCTGTCTCCTAATCCCTCCTGGCCCTCTCCTAATACATACATCTCCCTACCCCTCATATCCACCTTTTGGCCTTGAACTCCCCCTCCCAATAAAAAATAACACACAACAGCTGCAACAGCAGCAACAACAACAACAAAGCATAGAAAACATTTCATTGTGGAAGCTGTAGTGTGTCACACTGTGTCCCACAGTACACCCTTTTGTCTACACATCTTCACTTGCAAATGCTCATTGCAATGAGTCATTGGTCTGGCTCAAGACCTCTGACATCTGTGACACCTCATTGGGACTCCTTCCGGTTAACCTGTTGTTACCCTGTGTCATAGAGATCCTGCAGCTTTGGAACAGCAGGACTGGTCCTTTCCTGAGCCCCAAACATTCACAGATGATATAGATTTTGGGGTGGGTCATCTCAGAGCCCTGCATCTGTGCCTGGGTGGTATCCGAGCTGATCAGCTCTCTGACCCACACCACAAGGACTGGCTCTTCAGCACTGCTCTGGCTTGGCCACCCAATGATGGAAGGTAGGTGGCAGGGTCAACTCTTCTGCTCTCATGCCCCTAGGGTCAGCTCACCCCACCCACACTACCTGAGCCAAGCCTCCAGAGCCAGCTCCACTGTGCTGCCCAGTCAAAATGCAGGGTCCACTCTCCCATGCGCTGTAGCATGTGAGGGACTCTGCCTGTCACACCCTCACACCCTCTGAGCTGGCTTACCTGTGCCTTTGTCATCAGGACCAACTCCACTGTTTTGCCCAGGTGAGATGCAGAGCCCTCTCTCCAAGTGCTATAGCCAGTGAGGGGGCAGGGATACCTGGGGACAGTGCTCCTGACTACTACTACAGGTTTCGGGGGGGGGGAGAGAGCATCATCCCCATACCCAGGCTACCTCACAGCAGATGAATGGTAGCTCCAGATCTTTCTCACTCTTGTCCTTAGAGCTGGCTTACCCACTACTGTGCTGTCCAGGTGAGGTGCAGGGCCTGGTCTCCCAAGTGCTCCAGGTGGTGAGGGACAGCTTCAGGGGGAGGGAATCACCCCGATACCCATGCCTCCTCTGCACTAGTGCCACCCCACAGCAGAAAAGTGGTGAGGACAGCTTTTCTCACACTCACACCCTCAGGGCCAGCTCATCTATATCTCCCCTCCCCCCACAACCCCATCAGGACCAGCTCCACTGTGCTGCTTGGGCGAGTTGCAGGGCTCACTCTCCCAAGTGTTGCCAGAGCTAAGAGATGGGGCCAGTTCTCCAGAGCACCTTATCCAGTGAGGGACAGGGTCAGTTCTGTACAGCCCCTGGTGGCTACCCCGACCAGGGACATCTGTATGTTTTTCTAGTGGTAATATGAACCACGAATGTTGACACTGACCCCTTTGGCTGCATAGGCATGGACTCAGACATGGCCCTCAGCAGCATCTCAGGCCAGGACTTCACCATGACCAGGTGGCAGGGCTGGCCACTCACAACAGGCTCCTCCTCTCCACCCCAAGCCTCCAATTCCATCTCTCTTCATAAAGCTCAAGCTGCCCCACTTCTCCCTTCCTCCCATCTGAACACCACATACTTGCATACTGTGGTGGCTCCTGCTGGAGGCTGGCATACTGTGGTGGCTCCTGCTGCAGGCTGGCCACGCACCTGGCCAGCCCCTGGGTGACACCCTCAGTCCACATTGCATGGTTATTGGCAAGCAGGTATCTATGGCCTGCCTGTGCCATGTGCTGGAGGACAGGTCTATGGTGACACAGCAGTCCCCAGGTCTCAGTCTTCCTACTTCAATGCTGCCTGAATTTGATTTTATTTTTATGAGTCCTAGGCATAAAATAGCTTTGGCCACCAAGCCAGGCATCAAGCTAAGATAAACAAAGGACTGCCATCTGCTCTGCCCCTGATTGGTATATGAACACCACCACCAACACGGCATCTCTTTGTCCATCGCCAGGGGAATATCCTATTATTTTAAGCTATGTTTTCCAAGTAACTTGACACAGTCTTCATGTACCAATGTCTGAACTCCTTCACTGTTATGGTCTTTTGCCTCAAGTAGGTTCAAACTCTGTGTGTGCATGTGCGTGCGTGTGTGTGTGTGCACGCACACACATGTTTGTACATACAGATGTGCATGAGTGCAATGGAAGCCTGATCTGTTTTCTTTTTCTCGTCATGTGTTTGGTGTGTATATATATATATATATGTGGGGATGTGCATGCAGAGGCTGAAGACTGAGGTTGACAATCCTCGGTTCTTCTGCCTTATTCTTTAAGACAGAGTCTGTCAATCAACCCCACAGCTTGCTGACACAGCTAATCCCACTAGTCAGCCTGCTACAGTCATCCCTGTCTCTGCCTCCCAAGGCTTGAGACTGAAGGCAAGCCACACCACCCAGCATGTGCCTGGGTCCTGGAGATCCAAACTCTGGGTCCTTCTGTGTGTGTGGCAAGTACTTTCCCTACTGAGCATCTTCCCCAGCTCTCCCTCCGCCTCATTTTTGAGACAAGGCTTTATTAAACCCTGGAGCTTAATAATTGTGCCAACTAGGCAGTCAGCAAGCCCTAGGATGCCTCCATAGTGCTGGGAGCACAGGCGTGACCTGTTGACACTCCGTTTTTATGTAGAGCTGGTGGTCCTGCTCAGGGCTTCATGCTTGCATGCCAGCACTTCACTGTGTGAGCCACCTCCTTAGCCCCTAGCTTATCAGTTCGGGTGCAGTCTGTATAAGAGAAAGTAATACCCATGTAGGGGTGTGAATGAGGGTTTTTTTTCTTATTTGTATAGGTTCCATGTCCATGATATTTAATTGACAGTGACCTTCTGCAGGTATGATTACAATTGTACATAACATCGTATGAGATATCTATAGTTTATTCCTCTTAGTGGTCAAACTTTCAACTAGGCACATGTTGTTGAGTCCAGAGGAATCTTTTGAAGTCTTATGTTTTATATTTATGAGGGGTACTTTACATTTCTCTAAGATGAGGAGACAGATGGAAAACCTATGAGAAATGAGAAGAACAAGTCTGAGCCAACACACCTGTTCAGACTCTCTGTTACATTTGACCTTGATATCTGCCCCTCCTCAGGACCCAGAGGCCATGTGCAATTATGGAAGAATTGCCTACAACTGGTTGGGAGGAGTGGCTGAATAGTGACGAAAGATCAACCCTCAACAAGTCCAGTGGTGATGATCATTTGCAAACTGGCACAGCTGAACTCATGGAGATGGCGGCTGTTTGGCTGGAAGGGTAGTCCTAAACAACATACACAGCAAGTGCCTTCACCCACTGAGCCATCTTGCCCTCTCTCACTGGACCCCAACAAACTGATCTTAACTGCTCAACAAATAAGATGTTTCTCAATTGCTTTGAGTATCCACATGTCAGTGGACAAGCCAATCTTGACATTTTCTATTTGTTGCAATATACCAGGTCTGCTGCTGTAGCCACACTGTGCTCATCATGAGCCTAATGTGCGCTGTACACAAAGGATGGTATATTTGGCCGACACTCTTTAACTAGCTTAATTCATTAGTTTGCACCATTCTTTGAGGCTTTAAAGTTTTGAATGATTTTGGGGCATGTGTAGGGTGTCTTCACTCTATCCATCTCTGAGGGTCCATCTGACAAATTACCCTCTTCGCCAGACTCGAGGCCCCACGGCTTAAGGAAGTTAGCACTCACAATGAAAGTGAGCAACTTTATTCTGAGCCTTCCACATTAGAAGGATCATCCCCAATTTTTTTCGAATTACTTAAGGATGTGAAAAATATCTTTATTTTCTGTTTGATGACACTTCTTGGTAATGTGAGGAATTATAGAATAATACCTTAGCTTGGGAAGGATTGTACTCCGAAATAAATCAAGTCAGATTCTTAGCTCTTGCCTGTTAAGTACCAGTTTGACATTGGAAATGATCCCAACTTAGTGATTTCGAGAACCCCATGGCCAGCACTATCACCTTCAGCCACTCGAAACCCATTTGGCTGAGGCTGATGAAGAAGCTCATTTAGTGTGGGAGGATTGAGTTTGAAAACCTAAGTAGATAGAGTGTCCGCCGCGTAACCTCAGGGTTCAAATCTGTGTTCATTTAAAAGTTTTAAAAAAGTCAACACTCTTACATCTGTGCCTCTTCTGATGAAGTTTGGGATGGAATGAAAATTAATGTTGAGAAGTGCTAGAAGCAAGACCAGAGGACTGCATGTTGTAGGAGGCAGCATAGGCTGCTGTGATTGGGTTCTGGTTCTGATGGCTGCAGCTCTGTAACCCTGATCAGATCTGTCACCCTGTCTTGATCTACGCCTGTTTACACAGAAATGCAGCTGGAAACTATGCCTGTTGTGGGATGCTGTCCTCTGGGACAAGCAGAGCATTGCCGTCTTTATCAGAGCAGCAGTGATCACCTGCAAAAGAGTCATCAAGATCGGACCTGTTGACAGTTGCTCTTCCGTAACCACAGGGGTGGGTAGAGAGGTCCTTCCCCTGAAATTTGACAGGCGCTCCTCCTGTACTGCCCACCCAGCTATATGCGATGACCCTCAGCCACTCTCGGCTGGAGGAGGTGCTAGAGCTTGTAGACGGTGGAAAGCTAGCGAAAGACTCCATCTATGTGGCTATGGGGAAGTCATCACGCTGGCATGAGGTTTCTCAGCGATGTGTTGGTTTTGAGGGCTTCCATGTTTCTTTAAGGAAGCACAAAAATCTCCTTGCAAGACAAGTGTGACATCATGACCTTGGCCGGTCGTTGGTGCCCTGTCTGGAGTGAGTGGACATTGCTCATGGTTTCAGACAAGGCTTGTGTAATGGTGCCTTTCTCAGAAGGGCGGAAGTGAAGACTAACTGACTTTTTCATGCACTGGATCACAGGTAGACAGCACTTCCTTGGACAGTCTTCCGAAGGGGGAACAGAGTACTGTGAACTTCATAGAGCTTGGATTTCAGAACTCTTTACCTGCACATAACTCTTTTAAATAAGCATCTGTGTGGACACCTAATTTTGTGGGTTTTGTGGCAATGCTTTTTTTTTCTTCAAACTGGGCCTCCTAAATTATCTGATTCATTTTCTGAAAGCTCTCTCTCTCTCTCTCTCTCTCTCTCTCTCTCTCTCTCTCTCTCTCCCCTAGCTATCTCTCTGTGTGAACATACATGTATACACTCATCACAACATGAATGTGGAAGTCAGAGGGTAAAGTTCAGTAGTTTGTTCTCTGTTTCAATCATGTTGGTCCAGGGGATGGCTCGGGCTGGCAGGCTTGGTGGCAAGCGTCCTTAGCTGCTGAGCCATCTCACCTGCCCTTACCTGGCTGGCTCTTCCCTTGGTAAACCCACTTCATAAGATTGTTGCATCATTGCTCTTGAATTGGCTCCGGCTATAGACTATCCATCCATACAAAGAATGATTTTAATAACTGATAAAATATGGTGCTATTTTCGGACCTCTATATGATATATATTCAGTGGGGCTCTCCAGGGCAGGAGTCATCTAGAGGGAAAAGAATTAATTTGTCTCCACACATATATTAAATTTCTGAATGAATTTATTTCTGACAAGGAAAACCAAGAGTATAGATGCTTCCTTGATGAGATTTAATAATTTGTAGAGTGATCCACTGATGAATATTGCCTGGCATTAGAATAATAAACCCACTGAAATAAGATATATAGCATTCATCAAATGCTTCTGATCTGAACACAGTGATGTGCATAGTCTATTGTATTTGGTTAGGAGCATGAGGTTTTTTTCACCTTGTGTGTCTGTTTATCAGAGCTGGAAGAGCTCATTAGCATCAAAGAACAGAGACAGAGTCTTGGGCTGTTCCAGATGACCCAGGGAAAGGAGAGGCACTTGGCATCCAGAAGGTGTGGTCCAAACTCTGAGACATCCAGCACATAGTAACTTTTTCTTACAAAGCAAGCTAACCTTCTTGGAGGAAGGAGCTTAGTTGATAAAGCTCTGAGAGAGGACTTTTGTTGTTTTTGTTGAAAAAGTATAGCTTTTGATAAAAGGTGTGTGTGTGTCTGTGTGTGTGTGTGTGTGTGTGTGTGTGTGTGTGCATGTGTGTAGCTGAGATTCAGCTAGACTGGATGGCCACTGAACTTGAAGAATCCTACTGGCTCTGCTAACCAGATATACAGTGATACCACATCCCACTTTTTTATGTGGGTTCTGGGAATCTGAACTCAGGTTTTCATGCTATCTATCCAGCACAAAACAAAACAGGCAAGTTAAGCTTACCGAGTTGTGGGATATTGAGGTTGAAGTCTACCATTGACCAGCTAGCCTTCTGAGCTTGGGCGGATAATGGAGGACTCCCTTCTTTGGCAGGGCTTCCCCTTCTCTGATCTTGTCTGGGGAGTTCAGTCACCTCCCCCATCTCTACCTGGAGAATATCTTGCAGCCTTGGTTAAGAATACAGGATCGGCTTCCTTGCTCCTGATAAGAACCCATTCAGCTAGCACCTGAGATTCCTAAAATGCTTCCCCATGCTAATGAGGTATTTTGGTACTCTAAGCCTTCAGCTGATGACCTTTGGCCACTCTGTATGTTTCTAACCTCTTTCAAAACTATATAAGCCTTGAATCACTCCAAGTAAAGTTCCCTGCAGCTGGTGCCAGTGTGTCCTCTTCACTTCAGGTACGGACAGGGCTTCTGAAACCCTGTCATCATTGTTCCCTTTATCCTCATGGACTAATATTGACCAATGATCTCCTAGGGCAGGGGGGGTCACACCAAGGACATACCCAAACACACGCACACAAACATACACACAATATATGTATATGTAACACACACACACACACACACACACACACACACACACACACACACATATATATATATATATATATATATGCAGTCAGTACACTTATAGACTATAACTAACTAATAAAACTTTTTGATTGAGAAATGGGCCTGATTTATCAGTGACACCAAGAAGGGTCAACAAAGTCCAC